GGGGGGGGGGGGGGGAGGTCAGGAGCAGGTGGAGCGTTTGTGTGAACTTAGATAAATGACAGGTAAAAGTCATGCATAACGGCTAAAATGCTTTTATATTTTCTACGCCATCTATTGGGGAAAGGTGGGTATTGCAGGGAAAAGGCAGAAGTATAACGATAATATAAATAAATTCTATCGTTTGGAAAAGGTTCACTGAGGTGAAACACCTGGTTCAGGTCAGTGTTCACTGGACCGGACCAGTGATCAGGACCAGTGGAGTTAGACGGTTGACTGTAATACTGTGTCCACTGGTGCCTCCACTGTAGAGGATACACACACACACACACACACACACACACACACATATATATATACACAGTATATAAAATATATATCAGTACACTGAATATGGGAAACTGAACAGTGGATGTTAGTAGATGAGTCGGTTACTACACATACATATATACACACACATATATATATATATGTATATACATATTTATGTGTATATGCGTGTGTAATGTATGCTCTCTCTCTCTCTCTCTCTCTCTCTCCGTCCCCTCCCCCACCTTGTTACCCACAGAAGGCTCTTGGCTCCGTGGCCTGGTGTAAAATTACTATTGGCCAGTTCGCCTCCTGTGGGCGGGGCCAGAGTATCGTGATCTCACAATCAGCTGTTTTGTACGTTCCACATTCTGATCCGAGGATCAGCTGGAAGGCTGCAGTAAACAGAGGCCGAATCTGCAGAGGAGAAAATTCGACGACGACCGTGGGAGAGAAGAGCTGCAGATGTTTGTCCACCGAACCTTCTTCTGAGAAGAAAAGCCTTGATAGTCCAACTACCTCAGCCAAAGGCCTTTGAAGCTGTGCTTTAACCAAACCCTTCCTCCAACTGTGTGTTTACAACTGCTCTGTGCTGAGAAGCAGGTAAGACTGTTGGAGCTACACTATATATATATGTGTGTGTGTGTGATTGTACTGGCGGCTGCTCTGGTGTCACCCGTGGATGTGGGGGTGTCACAGGCCACTCGGTGTCTGCACCACATCCACACTGACACGGGCATCAAACTGTCGTCGGAGAAACGACACTAAACCGCGGCTGTGTCGGTGCTGGGTTTTGTCGGTTGTCTTTGGACCGTTCCCTCAGCTTCATGTATTTAAAACGGCAAAGCGATCGGTTAATGAAGGTCGAACACCCCCCCGCCCCCCCTCCCGCACCAACTGAGCTGCGGACGTTTCCACCGCTGCAGCCCCGCGTCCTCTCCCAGCAGCGGCTGCTGTTCAGACCCGTGGATCGGTGTCACCGTCCGGTTCATAGCTCTCTAACAGGTCCGTCCTTTGGAGAGCTGCCGTCGGTCACACGTCTACATTTGTCTGCGTTTGTCTCTGTGTCTCTGTGTGTCTGTGTCTGTCTGTCCCCGGTCACCGAACGAGCGTCAGTCTTCTTTTTCACCCTCTGTGACGTAGTCGTGACGCCAACGCTTCTTGTTTATTTCGCATGGCTCCTCCCATCCAGGCTGCTAAGCCACACCCCTGCTCTGAAAGAGGCGGAAGCCATAAATAAAGACCCGCCTCCCGAGGATGACGACATTCAGGCCTGAATAAAAGTTTACGGCTGTAGTTGGACTGTGATTCTTCCTGAGGAAGAGGATTACAGACGCTTCTCTAATGAATCATTCAAACAATAGTTCTTTAAACTGTTTAATCAGCTGGGTGAGGCTGGGTGAGTCTGAGTGAGTCTGGGTGAGGCTGGGTGAGTCTGGGTGAGTCTGAGTGAGTCTGAGTGAGGCTGGGGGAGGCCGGGGGCGGATGGGCGGGGCTTGGGGGGGCGGGGAGGGCGGGAGGG